TGGGGTGGCCGATGTCCGATATTCAGTTTTAAGGCCGATACCGATAGGGGGCCGATTATATTGTGCATCCCTAGTAATTTTGAGTGATAAATAATTTTTTTAATAATAATTTCTACTCTCCCAACAATAAAAACGGCTTGTCCCGGGCGATCGGGCGATGGTTAACATCGAGCCCTGCTGTATGAAGCTCCAACCGATGGAACCGTTTAACCTGGTGTTCTGTCAGCTCAGCATTCCGCTTCAGGCCAGCATACCCTTAGTAACACTCATTACATTCATTTCACTATTTCGTCAGGTTTTTGTTATTGTTTTGTTTATAAAACAACAGAAAAGGTCTTTCACTAGGTCCGCTGCACGCATTAGCTTTAAAAACAACATTTGAAGTCTGTTTGACGAGGATCTTATTAAAGAATGATCGGGATTTTTTTCACAGAGAATTAAATAGTTGAAAGGATATGAGATTTTTTTTTAATTTTGTTTGTTTAATATGAACGAGATGCAGATCATTTTATTTAATTTTTTAAATTTTTTTTACAGTAAATGAAGAATTACTGAAATATTTGCAATTTAATTAATTTTGAGGGGGAAAATAAATGACTTTAGGGATGGGAGGATTCGCTCAGTGATAATAACCGATTGGAACAATCTGAAGCCATTCAATGGGACTGATAACGGCTAATAACGCTCATGCACGCAAGCGTATTACAAAGGTTATACTGGCCTGACGCTGAGCAGAACACCGGCTCAGATCTGATCTGGCTCACCTGTCTTATCCGTCAGCAGGTAGACGAGCCGACCCAGTTCTTCTGGTATGGTGCTGGTTCTGACCACCGTGCCGGGAATGTTTTCGTCCTTGGTGATCATCCACCCGTACGCCGACTTCCCCATGTCCAGGTTGACCCGCAGGCTGCGCAGCAGAACACAAACACCCATTTAACTTCCTGCCTTTAGAGCTGAAGCCGCGCCCGATCCATTCAGAACCACGCCGCACCTGATGGGAATGATGTAGGAAAACAGGACCACGAATCGGAAGAGGTTCCTGAACCACGGTCCCACGAAGCCCTGCAGAGCCACCATGACGACAGAGAGAACCAGCTGGGCCAGAAACAGGGCTTTGGTGAGGCGGTTCAGCTCCAGGTCCAGAAGGCCCACCTGTAGCAGGTCCAAACCAAAGAATGAGTGTCGTCGAAAACACTTGAAGTCTCTTAGGTCTACAGAAAAAACTAAAACTCTAATCTGATCCTGACGTCTCAATCTGCCAAAGTTTTTTTGTTCAGATGATTTTGTATGGAGTTCACTTTGTTCCAATATTGTTGCCACCAAGACATTTGGTAAATGGGAAATTGAAAAGCAAACGTTTTTACCTGGTGGAGTTTTGTTTGTACGGTTTTCATTTTGTGCCAATATTTTTGCCAACAAGACATTTGATAAATGGGAAATTGGAAAATTGAACAAAATTTTTTTTCTGTGTTTGTTTTTTTAATTAATTTTACTTTTCATATTTATTTTTTATTTCATTTTGAGAAAATTTCATTAACAAAGTTTAAATATTCAAATATTCTTTTCAATTATTTTCGGTTTCAGAACAGGTTAAAAAAATTAATTATTTTAAAGTTGCGTTTTACAAATCAAATTTGGAAAAAATAGATGCAAAAGAATTCAAATATAAAATTATAATTTCAATCAAAAAGCAAATCATGAGAAAACAGCAGCGTTAATCTCTAAATCTTTTTTTGATTAAAATATTTTACCTTTCAGGATTGCTTTTTTTTCTCCATTTACAGTGTGTTCTGTGCTTGTAACTATAAACAATAGTGGAATAAAATTAACTCCATAGTCCTGAAATCTTCCAAAATGCTGCACAGAAACAAAGCCAGCAGGCCCCCCCTGCAGCTTTTTCTAATGCAAACGCTGAAGTTTAGCTATAAGTCGCTCAAACTGCATCATCAGCATGCTGAAGTTTTGTGCATCGATACAACAGAAGGTTAAAAGGCCTAAAAAAGCAGAAAAAGTTCCCATAAAGGGCACGATTGTCTTATTTCTTGAAGTGCGTCTCCCAGCCAATGGAGCATGTGGGAAAAAGACGTCAAATAAAGACACAGCCGTCCCCTTTCTGGGACACAGAGGCCTTTCATGTGACGCACCACGCTTACAAAAACAGCACAACATAACATCCCTTCTCCTTAAGAAAGGAGAGCAGGGGAGGGGGCGTGCTTTTACAAAAAGCAGCTAAATTCCTCCACCCGGCATTCCCCTGAGGACTGGGACGAACTGGGAGACCAGTATGAGCGATTTAAAGTCCCAGCAGCAGAGCGCAGAGGAGGGCCGCCTCACTACATGCTTCATGGTTGAGTTATTGAGAAAAATAGCAGGTTAGGGTGGATTAAAAACCAAGAAAAATTAAGACGGAGAACAGAGGATGCCCCTCTGCCAGAACAATGGCCGCTCCACATTTTCCACGGCTGCCGGGGATCAGATGAAGTCATTATTCATTCAGTCAATGGGGGCAAAATAGGGACTCAATTACCCCGACGTGAAGATGCTATCAGTGAATAAAAGTACGTGTTTCAGCCCATTCATGCTGGGGGCCGTTAAAACCCGGAGGAATGATTGGATCCGCCTGGATTCTGTCAAACGGGTGTGAAATCTGATGAAGAATGGAAACCCGGGAACATGTATATTCATGGGTTTGGAGAATGTCTGGAAACTCCACCAACAGGTTTTTATAAAATAACCAGTCGGTCACTTTTATAAAAAAATTACTGATATTTCCTTTAATTTTAAAGTCATAGTGAAATCATATTCAAATGTCACATCATTCTGGCTTAAACAT